ATAATGCTGAAAATTGAGAAACAATTTAACAAACTATGGTATAAGTAATAAAAGAGTGCATCTCCATGATTTGTTTTTGGAAGTATACTAGTCGCTATCAGTCGAGGGTCCAGCGAGTCGCTCCGACGCGCGTTACTTGTACTTTATATTTGGAGATTGCTAGAATAAAATACTTTAATTATTCTCATTGAAAAAATGTAAATATTCAATTTTAAGATGTTCGAACTGGAAAACATTTTCTATATGATATTCAGCTATTAGTATAAATGAATTTAAATTCGACTTCCTAATCACTTATTTTATTAAGAATTTCTCTAATTAAAAGAAAATTTTGAATTTTATTCACATTTCTTATCTCAACCTTCAATCAATATTTATTTGAAAGAACTTTCTTTGATGAAATCTTCTTATATTTATTGAATAATTTCTTTGATAAATCCATACTAATTCACATTGTCAAATTCTCTTTGTAACTCGAAATAATCTTAATTGTTAACTTTATTACTTTTCATTATTTGAATTATTTTTTTGAATTTTATATTAAACTATAAAAAATATTCGACGTACTCAAAGGTATCCAGACAATGTAGGATAAGACCAATGAAAATTTCAGTTTAACTTGATACAATCGAACAGATCAAGCAACTCTGTCTTTCATCACCTGAAATTGATAAGTAGTTCAATTCCTATCAATGAAATTTGTTCATCATCGAATTTTATCAAAACTGTTCAAGTTCGTTTTAAAAGTGTTACTTGAAATATTTTGTAAAGCAAAAAATATTTTCTTTGCGTGATCATGTGAAAGAAGGCTCTTTCAAATCTTGTTTCATATGGTGAAAAACAATATCATGTTTTTATTCTCAATATAACGCAAGAAAGAAAACGAACAAATATTTATGGACAATCGAGCATACAACAAGTATGTCCTTTATCTATTTATAAGTGTTGGATAAGAATAAATCTTATCACATCACCTATAAGAGATATATCGATAATGTAAAACTTTCTTCATAATTATCGCCACAGAAACATCGTTGGATGTTTACAATCTCTATCTATATTGATATGATAGAAAAATCTTTCATTATTCGTATTTTGTCAACACGACCGTTATTTTTCTTCTTGCAGGAACTTACACTACCAAGCGCAATATAAATCCATTCTTTTGTATAGAATAAAACAAAAAGTCGATTCGATTTATTTCGCCAACGCATTATTATTTTTTTGTTTCGTTAATGAAAGGAATCCGAAATTATGACATCTGCTCATCAATAATAGGTAATTATACTATGAAGGCAAACGTATATTCATTTTTTTTTGTATAAAAAAATAAAGAAAGGTCAATTTGCTTTATTTCGCAAACGAACGCACTTTTCAAATTTCAGATGGAAAATTATTCAAGTTAATACAAATAAGTACAATCTCAACGTCTCGACTAATCTCAATAGTTATTTCGTTGAGCAAGTTCACCATCTATTACTGGAAATTGAAGTATTATGCACTTTCTTCTATATTAATCATAATATAATTGATTTAATACGACCAAAACACAAATGAAACGAAGTTTTAATTTCACAATGAAAATTTATTGCTGGAAATCGAAGGATTATGTGTGCCGTTCAATAATAAAAAAATATTATTCTCTTTGTCATAAAGAAGAGTCCAGTAAGAATAAATTATTTACTTGCTTATACGTTGACTTCCGCTGACTCGTTCAAAAATAATCTCAATGGATACCTATTATTTTCCATAAAACTTGACCAAAGGTAATCGAGAGTGAAGAATTCGATTATGACATCAGTTTTTTTAGAATTTTCCCCACAAAGGATAAGTTTTTATTTAAAAGATTTGTTTCATGAAGTTTGATCAACGCCAATCGAATTTGAGGAACTTAAATTTTTGAAGTCAATTGTTTGAAATTGTTTGACTAAATAATTTGCTGGTAGTTGTAGACACATCGTTTCTATGAGAAAGAGCTGAGAGAATCCCTGTACGAGCACTATTTTTCACATAAAGTTATGTTTTATCATGTAGTGCTGATTTTACTTTAATCAAATTCTATCGCCTAATTCAATTGTTAAATATACACAACTTTATTTTATACTATTACTTCAACATAATGGATTCTCAAAAACGAAATTATCCTCAAGTAATCCAAACGAGTATCATCATTCAGTAAAAATCAACAAGTTCTTGATATTTTTACTCTTAAGTGAGATTGATACTTCTGCCCATAAATAATATTTATATATCGTCATAAAACTATTATGTGTACCCGCTCTGGTTTCAAGCTAAATCATATCACATATTTTGTAAATTATTTTAACATCTGCAATACATTCATGATGGACAATCAAGCTTTAAAATTCGATATGAACTTGGTCCATTATTAGAAACAATATACTCAACTTTAGGCGGTTACAAAACACACATTTATAGAGAACACAAAACTTTTCTTTTATCTAAAGAACAATTTTATTCATAAGTAATTATTTTGCTACAGATAAATTCTATTGTTGTATATTTAGGTGAAGCTGAAGGGGAATTTTATCGGCAATTAATTTTGATATAATGTAATTCTATTCTATTCTTTTATATTTAGATCGACGAGAACGAAACATTCGCCGGTGTCTGTAGCTATAGACAAGTAAAGTATATTTTTCGATATACGCAGGAAGCACTCGACAGATCTTGCCTTAGCTTGTTTGCGGAGAGTGTTGGCGACTTCTCTTTAATTACATCCACCCACCCATACCCACTATTCAATATATTTTCTTTAATATTATGTGTTCTCGAGATACAATAGTTTTCAATACTTCTTTTTTTTTCAGATCAAAACTTCATCAGTTTTTGTTTCATTTCTTCCGATAATCAACTAGTTTTTTATTCAACATATCTCAAATGACACCCACTAGCACCTTCTTGGAACCGGTGGCTATTATAGGCATGGCCTGTGAATTTGCTGGTGATATTCATAATCCAAATGATCTATGGCATGCATTGGATGAAAGTCGGGATGTCGGTAGCGCAATACCTCGTGATCGGGTTGATTTTGAATCATATTGCGCTCATATGTTCAATATGGATAATCATGGACAGTTTCATGAAAAACTTATTCGTGCAGGATATTTCCTCTCCAATAAGCAATGGGATATGTTCGACGCAAGCTTTTTTGGTCTATCCGATGCTGAAGCAGGCAGTGTTGATCCATGTCATCGATTACTCATGCTCAAATTTGTTCATTTGCTTGACGATGCTGGCTACACTATCGATAAAATGAATGGGTCACGAACTTCTGTCCACATCGGACAGTTTTCCAATGATCATACTTATACAACATTTCGCATGAAGCCAGAACATCGATCCAGATTTCATGGACCAAATAGTTTTCTGTACAATGCTGCTGCTCGTTTATCCTATCATTTCAATTTGCAAGGTCCTACCGTATCGATGGACGTTGCCTGTTCATCGTCGCTGAGCGCAGTACATTCAGCTATGCAAACTCTTCGTGTACGTGAAGCAGATATGGCTGTATGTGGCGGCGTAAATAGTATCTATTCTCCAGAGAATTTTCTATGGAGTTCAGTAGCTGGTGCTGAATCACCTGATGGACGAAGTCGATCGTTTAGTGTTGATGCTAATGGTTATGCTAAAGGTAAAGTGTGTATCATCATACATCTACTGATATGTTTGAATGTAATTTCTAGGTGATGGTCTTGGTCTTCTTTTGTTGAAACGACTAACTGATGCTGAACGCGATGGTGATCGCATCTATTGTGTTATTCGTGATGCACTTAGTGGTCAAGATGGAAATGAAGATAAGAGTAGTTTTACTGTTCCATCGGGTGTAGGACAAGCACGTCTACTAACTGAAATTTACTCAAGAACAAAATTTGATCCTCGGCAAATTTTTTATGTTGAAGCTCATGGTACTGGTACCCCCGTGGGTGATCCTATTGAAGCAAATTGTTTAGGTCGATTTTTCAATCGATCATCTCTTGATCCTCCATTATTGATTGGTTCTGTTAAGAGCAACCTAGGGCATACAGAAGGAGCAGCTGGTGTTGCATCACTCATCAAAGTTGCCATGTGTATGTACCATCGAACTATTCCACCAAGTATGCAATTCACATCATTGAATCCGAAAATAGAAGCACAACGATACAATCTTCACGTTGTTCAACATTCTGTACCATTTCCTCCTCATCGTACTGCTGAACCAATAGCTATAGGTATCAACTCGTTTGGTATGGGCGGTTCTACTGCACATGCCATTGTTGAAGAATACCAACCAATTGTAACACCCATCATTAATGGACATATATATGATCATTATAATGGAAATCAACGAGAAAATAAACAATATTTCATCTTTATTTTCTCAAGTAAGTTCTGTACAACCTACTCTTTCTCATTTTCTTAGCAGTTATCAACAACTTCATTGTTTTTTTGTTTCAGCAAAAAGTCGTCAATCTCTCAATGATCAACTGATCCAATTCAATCGTTGGTTAGAAACAAAACCAGTTAATAATATAGATGATGATCAAGCTTTTCTTCAACGTATATCTCAACAACTTCTTCTTAAAAGAACTATTAGTTATCAACATTTAGCAATCTTTGTTTTTCTTAATCGTCAACAATTGCAAGAACAAATCAATGCTCTTCTTACTGAACAAACATTAGCAGGCTTTTCAATTGTATTACGTCCAACAATACCATTATCACAGAAAATATGTTTTGTTTTTAGTGGACAAGGTCCACAATGGTGGGCTATGGGTAGACAATTATATGAAAGTGAACCTATTTTTAATAAATGGATTAATTTAATTGATGGAGAAATGACAAAAATTAATAATGGTGAATGGAGATTATTAGAAGAATTAATTGAAAAGAAAACTGAACAAGAATCTCGTATTAATGATACAAATATTGCTCAACCAACATTATTTGCTATACAAGTTGCATTAGCAGCTTTACTTGTTTCTTGGAATATTTATCCATCATCTATAATATCACATAGTGCTGGTGATCAAGCCGCTGCTTTTGTTGCTGGTCGTTTAAGTTTAGAAGAAGCTGTTCGTGTTGTTTATCATCGATCACGTCTTCAAAATCGTAATACAAGACAAGGTGGCCGTATGTTAGCTGTTTCAATGAGTGAAGAAGAAGTAAACGAAAAACTTCTCAAAGGTATTGAACATCTTGTTTGTATTGCTGTTATTAATAGTCCTCGTTCGGTTACGCTAAGTGGAGATGAGAAAACTATTGATGAATTACAACAAATACTTACAAAACTTTATCCAAATGTTTTTAAAGCTCGTCTTCGCATAGAAAATGCATTTCATTCTCATCAAATGGATCGATTTGATATTGAAAAAGAAATGCTATCATCATTGAAAGATATTGGTGGACTTCCTTTAGTAGATCCACAACATATGTTTCATCCAAAATGTGCGCAAGCACGTCTCTATTCAAGTGTTGTGGGTGGTCGATTAAGTGATGAGACGCCCGTCGATGCTCGTTATTGGTGGTCAAATGTGCGACAATGTGTTCGATTTTATGATGCTATCACATCTATTACAAATGATGGCAATGCAAGTGTTTTTCTTGAACTGTCACCACATCCAGTATTGGCAACATCGATTCAAGAATGTTACCAATCGATAAATCAACAACCACTTATTCTTCCAACATTAAAACGAAAAGAAAATGAACAAATAACATTACTTACAAGTTTAGTACAGCTAACAACATCATCTCATGTTTGGCAACAATATTTTCATACTCGAAATGTATTACCTATGAAAGAAAACGAGCAACTTTTCGATGATTTTCCATTATATTCATTTCATCTTGTTCCATGTTGGTATGAATCAAAAGATGCAGTTATCAAACGTCTAGCTAATCGTATTCCTATTCATCCTTTGCTTGGTGTACGTCAATTAACAGGACAAACAACTGCGACATGGAAAAGTCTTATCAATATTAATTTACCAAAATATGCTTATTTAAAAGATCATAAAATTCAAGATATAATTCTTTTTCCTGCTGTTGCTTTTGTTGAACTTGCTACAGCTGCATGCCATCAACTACTTTCACCAACAACAGATGATAAACAACCGACAATTATTTTTGAACAAGTCAAATTCATCAAAGCACTTGTGCTTACTGAACATGAATTGATAGAAATATTTACACAAATTATCATGCCAATGCGTGAATGGTACATTTATAGTCGACCATGGTCATCAGCTGGTTCGAATTGTATGCGTTCGTCAGGTATGGCCAGTGCTGACATGATTGATTCTTTTCTCGATCAACATACACTAAGTCAATTTTCCTTGAATGAGTTCACTTTACATGCGCATGGTCAAATTGAAATCAACAATATTATTCAACAAAAATCAACAACACTGCTGAATATTGATACAATTCATTACACATGGTCGACACATGATACCACAAATGTTTATAATCATCTATCAACACGAGGTTATCAATATGGATCTTCTTTTCAAAAGATACAATCATTACATGGCACAACATCATCAGTTGTAGCTCAACTGTCAAATGATCTTAGCGCAAAAAATGATCTTTCATCTTATCATCTACTTCATCCAACTTTAATGGATGCGTGTCTTCATCCACTTCTAACTTTGTTACCTGGTTTCGACACCACATTTATTCCAGTTAGTGTTCAGAAGATTGTCAATAAAGGCAAAATGAATCTATCTTATTCAAATCTAGAAGTACGAGGAAAATATCATGATAATATAAGTGGTTTAGGACAAGAAGGAACATATACACTAGATTTATCAATTATGCCAATTGATAGTAATACAGAAGAGCCAATATTTACTTTCGAAGGTGTTACTCTTCAACAAATTTCAGGTGCACAATCTGGTCGATGGACATTAGAGAAATCCATTTTTGATAAATTAAATATCACAGTTGATTTGCCTAATGTCGATCATAGAGAACATATAGATAGTCTTCTAAAAGACTATTGTATGAAACAAGTATGGAATGATTCACCAATAATAACAAGTGTAGCTGATTTATTTCCATCACCTGAGAAGATTCTTAATAGTAAAATCGATAATGTTAGCAATCAAGATGTAGTTGAATCAATTGAACCATTCAACAAACTAGCTGCATATTATGCTCAACAATCACTAGCAGAGCTCGATTTAAGTCTTGTTGATGATCAATATCGTCCTTTATTGAATACTTGCTACTTCTTAACCTCACTTTTATGCGAACAAGTAGCATTACACTCTACACAACTTTGTCTTATACAGCTGCTCGATCGTTTTCCACGTCTCGAACCAATTCTGACCTTATTAAACGCGTATGGGTCGCGATTAAAAGCCATTTTTACAGGACAACAGAGTGGAGTGGATGTATTCTTAGGAAACGATGATACCGGACGTCTTTTACAACAAGTAAAAAACATCATGAGTGCAAATAAAACAGAAATGGTATTTGATGTAATTGATCAACATCTTCGGGTTGAACATAAACGAAATAGCTATGGCTCACTTAGCCACTATCGATTGCGCATATGTTGGTTTGCTAGTAGTGAATGTTCGGATGTCCTTCCTATTCTTGATCTGTTGCTCAATTTATCACATCATACAGATCTATGGATTGACTTTCATTATGCGAATATGGACACGACACAACTTGCACAAGCCGAACAAATATTTGAAACACGTTTCGCTGATCAAACTCGTTTATCGATTACATACGATCAAACACTTGATTTGTTTAACAGTGAAACATTTACCAAAATACCGATCGAATCATTCGATATTATTTTTGCTGCAAATCAGCTTCCAAGAAATGAAGATTTAGCAGAATCTCTTATCAATCTTCGTCGCGTACTTGTTCCTAATGGTCTTCTTTTATTGCTTGAATTAATTGGTGTTCCTCTATATTTTGATCTTATACTAGGTCTACTTGATCAATGGTGGTCATCATACAATAATACTCGTGCTTTGAATGATATCCAACAATGGATCACAGTTTTAAAACAAATAGGTGGATTTACAACTGTTACGCCAATATGGAGTCAATACGAAAGTACACTAATTATAGCTCAGAAAACGATGTCTCACGAAATACTACAGACACTTGATGAAAGAAAACATCAAAGATGGCTTCTCTTTGCCAAAGATGATGTTGAAAGTCTTGGCAAGAATATGATCTCGTTTTTACCATGTACAAATTATCAATTCTTTGATATTCATAATTCAGTCCCAGAAGTAATTCGTTCCGAAATTGAAGAAATGGTAACAACACATACACAATTGTATATTGTTTTTGCATGGCCACTTGAACAAACATTACTTGATGATGACGGTGATTTAGCATTCAAACAACATGAAGAAATTATGTGCAGTACATTATCTCTCATTCTTCAAACAATTCATACAAAATCTTCTCATTTTCATCCATTTGTGTTTGTTATCACGCATCATGCGCAGCTTAATATCGGTTCTGATTGCAATTTAATCACATCACCAATTATTGGGCTTGCGCGAAGTTTGATGATTGAATACGAGCCACATCGATTAAAACTGATTGATCTACAAGCATCACTGACATCAATCAACAAGCCAATATTTGCGCGTGCTTTAATACAACATATGATGAATTCTCGATATTCAAATAATACGTCTGAAATTGTTTTGCATCTTGACACGAACGAAAATCAAGTCAAACATATAAAATGGCATTTTGAAATGCTTCAAAAATCTGTTGATGATGATAATAATAAACAAGAGAAATCTAAATTAGAACAAATTTCTATTATTCCTAAACGAGATGCTGATCAAAAACCATTTCGTATTTGTGTACCACAATCTCGTTTTCTTTCTGAATTAACATGGATTGAAGAAGATAGAGAAAAAGACTTATTACCAGGTATGGTAGAAGTTCGCGTTCATTGTGTTGGTATTAATTTTCGTGATGTACTTAAATCACGTGGTTTGTATCCACATACACGTACTTTTGCACAATCTGATGAAGATCAACCAAAAGTTAATCGAGATACAGAACCAGGTTCAGATTTTGTTGGTACTATTGTACGTGTAGGTCCTACAACTAATTTTCAGGTTGGTGATCATGTTCTAGGTACTAGTAGTCTTGGTGCATACCATTCTCATATTATAATTAATTCACAACTTATAATACGTATTCCATCTGAATGCCCACTTACCGATGAACAATTATGTGGTATGCCAACTCCACTTCTAACAGTTATATATTCTCTTAAATATCGTGCTCGTTTACAAGCTGGTCAAACTGTTCTTATTCATGCTGCAACAGGTGCTGCAGGTCAAATGTGTATTCAATATTGTCAATTTATTGGTGCTCGTGTTATTGCTACAGCTGGAACTGATGAAAAACGACGTTTTCTTCATGAACATTATGGCATTGAACATGTATTTAATAGTCGAGATGCTTCTTTTGTTAATAATATACGTCAGATTCTTCCACAAGGTGTTGATGTTATTGTTAATTCATTATCAGATAATTTACTAAAAGAATCAATTAAATTATTAGCATATCATGGTAATTTTGTTGAATGGGGCAAACGAGATGTTTATCATAATGGGAATTTATCAATGTTTCAATTACGATCAGATTGTAGTTTTCATGTGATTGACTTCACTGGACTTGTTGATCATGTATTACCTATTATTCGTCTTATGCTAGAAGAAGCAATTGATTTATTTGTTCAATGTAAATTACGTGCTGTTGAACCAACAGTTAGTTATGAACCATCTCAAGTAATAGAAGCATTATTAAGATGTAATAGTGATCAAGTTATGGGTAAAACAGTTTTTCGTATAACTTCATCTGATCAACCATTAAATATTAATAAAAAACAATCTAATAGTTTATTAAAAGGTAATCATATTTTATATTTTCTTTTTTTTCTTTTATTATTTTCTTAATCAATAGTTGTAAGTGATAATACAATGTTTCCATCAGAAGTTTGTAATCAAGGAACAGTTTTAATATCTGGTGGTTTTGGTGGTCTTGGTTTAACAATGTCTCGTTGGATGATAGAGAAACGCTATGTTAAACATATAACACTGATGAGTCGTCGAACCTTAGCTGAACTTGAGCAATCTTCCAATCCGCAATATGATGATTGGTTACGATTGAAACGAACAGTAAATGAATATAATGCTCATGTTGATGTTGTACAAGCAGATGTAACAAATTTTCAACAAGTTCATGATTTGATTGTAAGACTTAATCAAAGCTCTTATCCTGTTCGAGGTATTATTCATAGTGCTGTTATTGCAGAAGATCGTACTCTCAGTAATTTAACACAAGAACATATAACACGTGTTCTTGCACCAAAGGCTCGCGGTGCTTGGATTCTTCATCAAGTAACACAACTTACTCATACTCCGCTTCACTTTTTTATTATGTTTTCATCAATTCGAAATCATCTCCTTGAATTAGCATCTGCCGGTTACAATGCTGGTAATCAATTTCTTGATGCTCTTGCACATTATCGTATGCAAAAACTCAATTTACCAGCTCTGTCTATCAGTTTACCAGCAGTGAGCGGTGCTGGCATGTTTCATAGACAACGAGAATGGTTAACAAGTTTTCAAACGACACAAGGCTTTGAATTAGTACCAACAGTGGTCGTATTTGAATTGATAGAACGTTTTCATAAACATCAGAATAATTGTCCATGTCCCATTATTTTTGCTGTTAACTGGCAAACTTTGTATGAAAGACGCCACAAACTAGCAACATTCCAGTTAGCTCAAATAGCACAGCAACGCTTTGTCGAAATGAAGCTCAGCAACACATCTGTATCATCAAGAATCGACGGTACGGCTAGTTTTGACTTGAATAAAAAGGAGACTATTATTGAGCGAACTCAGGAAGCTGTAGCTCGCCTCTTAGGTGCAGGTAGTGTCGATCGTATATTGATTGATCGTTCACTTGTGAGTCAAGGCATGGATTCATTAGCTGCTATCTCACTGTACAATTGGTTGGGACAAGAAATTGGTGTCTATATACCATTAGCTGATCTACTTCAAGGGTATTCTATTGAAACAATTGCAACAGTTATATATAATAAGCTCCACGAACAACAACAAGTTACCACAGCAATTACTAAAGAACATAATGTAGACTCTGATCTGATCGATGAAAATAATATCAAATTATCTAATACGTCCGTACACACTAGTACAGAAAATATCATTTGTATTCAACGTCCGACTCAAAAACATAGTTCTATTCTCTTCTATGTCTCGGAACAGCCAATCACTGATACTGACGAGTCCTTTGCACTATTTATGCACAAATTATCTAAACAACAAAGTGAAATAGTAACAGCTACTATCTATGTTATACAAATGCCGTTAACGATATTAGATACAAGTACGTCTGCTTATGCTCAAAATATGATCTCGCAAATGCGTCGTATTCAACCACGCGGAGCTTATCAGTTAGTGGCTAATCGCAACAAACAAGAAGAAATCATTGCACGTGAAATGATACAACAGCTTAACAATCATTCAATGATAATCGATGTGCGATTGATTCTTTTGGATGATTAGAATTAAATTTTTTATCAATTAATACTCTCTGAACATTGATGGTCGGGTCAGTTTGAACTCTTTTTTTATTTACTAATTCTAATACTTACAAGATATCACACTATATAAGAACTTATAGAAACTTAAATTCTGAAGAGTAGAAAAATGACAAGTAAAAATCTACAAAAACTTAGTATTCTTCAATATTATTTATAAAAAAATAGAACGTTGCACGAAAATATTTTTTCTTAGCTTAACTGACATATTTTTGACAGAAAAATTTGAACCCTGTCAAAGCGAACAGCAAAGGGAGCTTATCGACTATTGAGAACCTTTATATAAACTAGTGAAAAGTTTAACAACAACTATATTTTTATATGTGTTTTGTAGGGTATAATAGTATAGGAGTTAATAATTATCATCAATAGATAAGAACTGTAACTTCTTTATTGAACCTGATAACACTGAAAACTCTTCCTATATTGTACAAATTTGATATTTTTTCAGATAGAGCAAGAAAATTGACTATCAATGATCCAAAGATTAGACGAGTTTTCAAATCGAAAATCTGCATTCTCTATGTTAGAGTTTTAGGATTTGGTGCATCGCTATTTACAACTATTTTAATGAGTTCATTTCGATCCATTGACATTGAAATAGTGAGTTTTATTCCCTACGATATTTTCTTTTATCTTAATTCATCGATTTGTTCATTAACATAACGACTAAAATAATTGTTTAGTAATAAAAAAAATGCCAACTTGTCTAGTATTCTATGTTTACTTATTATAGTGTGATATTTATTCTAGAAACAGTTTTATGATTTTTTTTTCTTTAGTCTGTGATTTCATATACTAACAATCTTAAAATAACATATTTTTTTTGCTATCATTTAATACAATACTACAACGACTTGTTCTGTTTTTCTTCTGTGATTGTGAAACGTCATGATATGATGATGAATATGAATTTCCTATTTTATCGATAAGTAACTCATATCACCCTTATACAATGTGATCATCTACTCCTTTCTTTCCTATTATTATCATGAACATTGTTTATTTTTTCTATACGTTAGATATACACTAGTATCAGTTCACTGGCTATAAGTACATGTTAGGTAATCTATATTTTATCATATCATCGACAATTTCCTGTATTAGAATAGATTATAAGCATAAAGTTCTGATGCCTTTGGCATGAGCATAAGTCGAATTTTGAGAAAATTCACTGTAATAGAAAATCACCACATCTGTAAAAAATTCTACGTATGCATACGTTAAGGACATCATAACTATATGTTTGTAATCTACTCGAGCAAAGGAAACTGTCGGTGACATAATACACCATAGATCAGGTAATATATACATAACTAGTGGTACTAGTATATACCTAAGTCACTATATGTTATGTATACCTGTTGTATGATAATGTCTCATGTAGTGTAGTGAAAATGAATAGTAAGAATGGTAGTAATAGTACTTCTTCAGTTTGGTATTATTATATTGAAATGAAGCGTATTAGATAGCAGTCATAGTCAATGAACAAAAACAATATTTATAATAGAATATGATCACTATTCTTGAGGACGAGAATTCTGAATCTATGATTACTTCTTGGAATTTCGAAGTTTGATTTTTTGAGTCAGAAGCAGAGTTTTTTCCTTCACTGAGAAGGTTCATATAAAAGAAAATAATTTGTATGCGTCTTTATTTATCATGGGGTTAAAAGTGAAACGTCAAGCTTCAGTTACACCCTACTTCAGAATAAGACAGTCTTATTTTTCTGTTGTGCAAATCTTATTTACTCGAATTATTTGGTGTGGGTCGAACGCAGGTTTGGATCAAAATGACCAGTCTTACTTCTGAGATTAGATCCAATGAGCATTTTCACTGCTTTGAGACTTAGTGAATCGTATGTGACAATAATATCAAGCCTGCATACATTGACAGAAAAGAATATTATTTTAAACTGTGTTAAGAGTTGATTCCTGAAATGATTTTTTCTCACTCTTAAAAGTTCATTGTTTCGTAACAAGAGACAGTTAGATTTTTTCGGTTTCCATTTAAATGAGAAAACTGAGTGTAGATCTGAGAATATGGGATGTGAGTGAGAGTTAGGGTGCCTCTCTCTCACTCTCGTCCTTATCCACGCTCACACTCTATTGTAACAACAACAATTAAAAAGCATAAATATAAAAATATTTAATTCTTTCTCATGTTTTCAAATGTAAATGGAAGCAGCTAAGAAGTTAGTAATAGAGATATTCATTTAGATTCCTACGCAATAGTATAGTTTTAAATGTATTTTGAAAAAGAGAAGGCACTCAAATATGTTCGTTCATTAGTCAATCTCTGAATATTTTTCAGTAGTTTGACAGTCTCATCAAATTATATGGTAAACGGCAAGACTTATCATACATCATCAGGAAGAATACTACCAATAAACTCACAAGATTATTATAAATAAAATGTTGGCGAGTCAAATAACGGACATTCAAGTTTTATTTTTCTAGTTAATAAACTGAAAAAGAATTTAGGTAGTTAGAAGCTTTTATTTCAAGTTTTGAAGTACAGATTTTGTTTTCTTCATCGTCTTCATAGTTTTTTTAAGATTTTCATATACTACCTATTTTACACAACTAATCAATCAATATTATTCGATCTATTTGTTACCGATGTTTTCACGTACAAAAGTAGCAGCAAAAGCAACAAAAGGATCGATTGTGCAGAAAGAACAGCGGCTTATGATTTCGGGTCGAACAGAAGCTATAGCATCGTTTGGTCAACAAAGAATTTGGTTTCATGACCAGCTATACTTTCATGATTCCGATTTATCTGTCTACAATATTGTAGTTCCATTATTAATCAAACAAGGCTCACTCTCAATTGAACGTGTAAGCTCGGCCTTACGTTCAGTAATTGAACGGTATACGATTCTCCGTACAGCTGTTCGTTTTAATCCAGGAACTAATCAGATTGAACAATATATTCAACCTATTGCCGATGATATTTACTTATTCCAACATTCACGAGGAATATCGACAGTGGAACAACTGGATGATCTACTTACGGCTGAATCCATTAGGAAACACTTTGACGTGGAGAACGGAAGAGTTGTAAAATGTCATGTAGTGGAGCGAGGTGATAAAAGTCATGATCATTTATTGCATGAAAATGATCTCATTATTTTTACTATCCATCACATAGCATTTGATCTCACCTCAAGCAAATCATTCGTTAAAGCATTTGAGCGTGCATGCTGGATTGACGCGCACCACCAGTCAACATTATTGATTCAGCAATATATAGACTTTGCTCTATATGAACAGGCTATGCTAGCTGATACAAATCCCAATTCAAAAATGCATAAAGCACGCCGATTTTGGTCCGATCTTATGCATGGTTATGATTGGAATCGCATACGAGTCTTCGTGCCTACCGAAATTAAACATGATCAAACTCGTTCTGGTCGTGGTTATTCGACTGTATTTGTCGTTGATCAACAAGTTGTCGATGCCATGATGATGTTTGCTTCATCCAATAACATTACGATGTTTTCGCTGGCATTTGCCTCCTTCTATGCGTTCTTATTCAAGTTACTCAATAACGAAGAGGACTTATGCGTAGCAAGTGTTGTAGCTAATCGTTTTAACCAAGAAACAAAAGAAATGATCGGCATGTTTGTTAATATTCTACCATATCGAATACAAATTGAGCCAAATAAATCATTTAATCATTTCGTGCGAAAAGTGCAACAACTAAGTACTGATATTTTGGAACATGCGTCTCTACCATACCAAGAGATTATTGCTCTACACGATAAACAAAAACATCAGCGATTGCCATCAACATTCTTTCAATATGACTCTTTAATGTCATCTACGACGCAAAAAACTACAATGGAATTAACTGTAGATAAAGCTTCAGTTATTGGTATATACTATGATCGAGATCGAAGTCGCGGTAATGGATTATCTACATTCGATATGAGTGTAACAATAGCACATGAACATCATACGCGAACTACAGAATGTGTTATTGACTGTGCAGTTGAAATATTTCAAAATCAAGCTATTGTTAATAAACTTGCAACCCGCTTTCAGCATATACTTACACAACTATTTTGTTCTTCGATTGTTGGCGTGCCAATCTATAATCAATGCAGTATATCCATCAACAACTTATCCCTTATTTTACCCGAAGAAATCGAAGAAATACATAACGTAATCTTTCACAGATTACCGACTATTGCAAATGAAGGTATGTATAACAATGAAATTCATATTGATATAATAAGGCTTCTTACAATAATTTCTCTGAAAATCTTATTCGTCAAATACTGAGCAAAAGAATAAAATTCGGTAAAAATAATGAAACACAAAAGGATATATTCTATACTTCTCTATATTTTCAACATCTAGATTGTAGAATAAACGGTCGAAGTTCAAATACTTTTCCCCTAAAATAAAGAGTAACTAAAGTTAGTTTTCAAGATCTACAATAACCAAATCGAAATACTACAACTAAACACTTCCCCTATTTATGGACAGTTATAATTAGTGACGACATCATCCACCCTCAACTGATCAAAGCTCATTGTGGAATGTTTTTAGCCTTTATATTTTTCAGGAGCCTTTTGGTCTAACACTGATCATGAAACGCTTGGCGAGACTGTGCCTATGCTAGCAGAAAATCTAACTTCGATCATAAAAGTTAAAATTCAATCCATTTGTCAAATTAGGCGAAGACTATTATAGTATTATGATGATCATATACCTGTTCGAATCTGACATAGACAGACACTAGTTTTTCAGCTTTATTTAAAATTTCATGTCGGCTGCGTCTAGATACAAAAACTATTTCATTTCATTCGTGTTCGATTGCTACGATTTACATGCCTTTAGAATTTAGAAAAATATTTATACGAAAACCTTCTAATATGATTATTATCTAACACTGTCATCGATTTAAATAGAAAAATAGTCTGCTGCTCAATGTGTTACTCATATTTATAATAAGTAATTTCAAATTCCAAAAATCTTAAGTTTCTATTTATTAAATCAAAATAAATAAACTATTAATACCAAAGTTTCGTTGTTTCAGCACCAGCTTCCTATGCACAAGCTCGTATATGGCTTGACGAAAGAATTCGATTCGATCCTGATAAACCTCAAGTAGCAATCTATAATATGCCTTTTGTTTATCGTCTGCAACCAGATCATACTTTATCAATAGAACGATTACTTCATGCCCTCCAACTAATTGTCTTAAAACATCAATCACTTCGTACATCGCTTGTCTTCAACGCAGAAAAGAACCAAATCATGCAACGAATCATTGATCTGAACAATGATCATAAACAAATGCTTTCAGTTATCGAAAGTACTTATGAAACAGATAAACAACTCACTGAGATTATGCATGATGAAAAACGTAATCCTCATCTTTTTGATCTTGCTCATGGTCTTGTCTTTCGATGTCATATTATTTATTACAAACAAATCTCTTCAAATCATCTTCTTTCTGACAAAGATATACTTATTTTCAACTTTCATCATGCTCTATTTGACTTTCCATCAATGAAAGTTTTTCATCATGATCTTAATCAAGCATATACAACAGGCCAATTATTATATGATAACAACACTAATCTTCGTTATCTCGATTGTAAATATAAATACTACTTCTACTTCACTCTTTCCTAATACATTCTTTTCTTTAATTATAAAATAGATGCTGTTATTGAGCAACAAATGCCAATGACTGGTGCAAGTATGTTTTGGCTTGATGCTCTTCATGATTGTAAACTCGATCAGCCATTATCATTGCCATTTGATCGATATCGTCTCTCAAATGAACACCGAACTGGTCGTGGAACATCGGTTTCTTTTGATTTTGGTCAAGATCTATCACATGACTTTCTTATTCATGCATCATCAAATAACATTTCACTGGAGCATCTTGCACTTGCTACTTATTATGTGTTTTTATTCAAATTAACAAATGGAGAAAAAGATTTATGCATTGGAATAAATACAGAAGATCGATATAGAGATGAACTTGGATCTATCATTGGAATGTTTGTGAATGCTATACCTTTGCGATGTCAACTAGATCCTCATTTATCATTTAATAACATTACTAAGCATGTTCAAGATGATATGATAAACTGTATGAAGTATTCTTATTTTCCTCTTCAACATATTCTCAATCAACATCCAAATATATCAACTCCTGTATTTCTTGATACATCATTTGACTTTGTATCATCTACGACAAAAGATGAGAAGAATGAAATAATGATCGGTGATAGTCGATTTTCTTTACTACCTTATTCAATTACTATTAGTGAAGATGAAATCATGAGTAAATTTGATTTTATTCTTACTTTTCAACATGATCTGAATCTAAATAAATTCTCATGTACCGTTAATGCTTCCGTTGATTTATTCAATGCTGAAACAATCTGTATAATTGCACAAAGATTACAGACAATGTTATATCAACAATTCACATCTTTTAATAGTAAAACAAACAAACCTATTCATGAATTATCATTAATATTACCAGATGAACAATATCTAATGCAATCATTGAATAATACACAAGTATCATTTTCATCTTTTCCTCTCACTTGTATTCATCATGAGTTTGTATGTCAAGTAATGAAACATCCACAAAAACTAGCTGTTGAACTAGATGAACAATCATTGACATATTGTGAACTGTTGTATTATGTTCAAACCTTATCTTTAACTCTTCTTAATGAATATCATATCTCTCCAGGTGAAATCGTGTGTCAGTGTGTTGAGAGAAGTTTATCAATGGTAAGTTGATTAAGATGAGTAACAATTAATATGAGTTTGAGATTGATTTTGATTAGGTGATTGGTATTATGGGAATTGAAATGGCTGGTGGTGTCTATTGTCCATTATCACCTCGAGATCCACAACATCGTTTAAATGCACTTGTACAACAAACTCAAAGTCGTCTTGTACTTGTTCATTGGTTAACGAAAACGGAGTTTAGCGATGATACTCTTACGATTGATATTCATTCAAGATTCGCTAATAATGATGTAATGAGCGATGGTGATGTTGATCGGCTATCAAGTGTTACAGTGACACCTAATGATATTGCTTACATCATATTTACAAGTGGTTCAACTGGAATACCAAAAGCGGTAAGTTAACATGAGGATTTCTATCCCCCGTTTCTATTCTTCTCCTTTCTAACAGGTCCAAGTTCGTCATGAAAATTTCACTCGTTATATGCACTCATTTGTGAGTGTTAGCACATTGAAGAAGGATGATGTAGCTATCCAAATGGCTCGAAGTACGTTTGATGTTCATCTTCAACAAATAGTTGGTGTTTTATTAATTGGCGGTACATTGGTTATACTACGTGCAAGAGGAGTAACTGATTTTGATTATCTAGCTGATGTTTTATACAAAAAACAGATTACATATATGAATACCGCACCAGTTTTATTTCAAAGTTTTTTCATATTCCTTGGTCAGTGTAAGAAAACATATGCTGTGAAGTATCTTCGAGCACTTTGTAGTGGAGGTGAGTGAAAATAAATGATTTTCGTGATTTCCTTCACACTGCATTTTTGTGTCGATAGGCGAAGCATTCGCTTCCAAACTGATTGATCTGATCCAAGAAAGCAATATTCCTAATTATACTTTATGGAATTTATATGGTCCTGCTGAAGCGACGATTACATCTACATTTCATCTCGTAGATATAAAAGCTTCTACAAAGTGTATTCCAATTGGGAGATCGCTTTCTAACTATAAATGTTTGATTTTAAATGAATTCTTACAAAATACATCTGTTAATCAAGAAGGAGAATTATTTATTGGAGGTGTTGGTGTCTTTGCTGGATATCTTGGTCGTGATGATTTAACTACAAAAGCTCTGGTTGACATAGATGATACACTATTTTATCGAACTGGTGATCTCGTTACAATGGATAACAATGGTCTTCTTCACTATCAAGGAAGAAAAGATCATCAAATCAAACTACATGGACAAAGAATTGAACTTGGTGAAATCGAACGATGTTTACTTAACAACACATCCATCTGTGCTTGTGTTGTCATGAAATGGAATGATGATTATCTGGTTGCTTATGTTCAGTCTTCTTCTAATATGAATGAAGAAGAACTACGTGAACATTGTCAATCTCATCTTCCACCACATATGATTCCATCGATATATATTATACTTGAGAAACTACCTTTGAATCAAAATGGAAAAGTAGACAGAAAACAACTTCCGTCACCCGACTTTTCATTATCGACTTTGTTGTCGTCCAATAAATCTGATACTCCTCTTAATCAGCTCGAAGAACGTATACACACTATTTGGTGTCAATTTCTTCATTCTAATGAAAGTCGCATTTCTAGAAATACCAGTTTTTTTAGTGTTGGTGGTCATTCACTTCGCTTCATTGAACTCTATTATCGTTATCAATCATTATTCAACTTCGATGCTCGTTCACTCTCAATTGGCCTCTTTCTTCAGCAACCAACTATTCGACAACATGCACAACTGCTTGAAACACTTCCCTTCAATGATACTGAGACAACACGATGGCAATCACTACATAGCAATGAAGGTAAAACTTATTTAAATTAAGAAAAATTCATCAAATATATAAACTCACTGATCTTTCTTGTAGACATTACTTCTTTTGCTCAAGAGGGCATCTTTCTCGAAGAACAAGTTCAAATTTTACATGAAACTGCTACCCATTCAAATTTTTTCGAGCATCCGTGTGTTGTGATCAATGAAACTTGCGATAATATTTTGTTCATTTTGCCACCTGGTGACGGTGGTGCCGAAAGCTACTTCAATAACATTGTGCCTCATTTATCGCAATATAAACTGGTAATATTCAATAATTACTATCTTGATCTTCAAGCAAAAAGTATGGGAAAAGGCTTCTCGTTCGAGACATTAGCTCCTGTATACATAAAGTATATAAAAGAAATCCAACATGATGGTCCATATAACTTTCTAGGCTGGAGTTTTGGCGGCACCTTATCGTTTGAACTTTCTCGCCAATTGATTAATGCTGGCGAGAAAGTTGATAATATTTTTATGATCGACTCATACTTTAATGCACGCAAGGCTTCTTTCGAAATTTATAAAATAGATAAAGTGGATATCGTCGATCCAATAAATTATTCTTATTTACCGATGATAGACAATGAACTATTTGGATTAAGTATAGCCAACAGAAATACAAACATTGTATTATTTAAAGCTAACAAGGTGGATGAAAACTTTACATTAAACAATCAGTTAGAATTATTTTCATATTACACCAATACATCATTTAATAATCTTGACATATTAGTGAATCATGAATATATTCAGTTATTTCAAATGTATGGCGATAGCCATTTCTCTTGGTTATTTAATGAAAAGCAAATCTTCAACATATGCAATTATGTAGCGAGTCTATTAAAATAAATACCAGAGATTAAATACGGTAATTTAGTAATCAATTACCTTACAACAAAAGAAAGAAAATTTTCATTTTATTTTAGTTTTGTTTGCTTTTAAATGTATTATTTTGGAATCATCAATATATACTTTCTTGAACAGGCAATAATCATTTCAGTTTGATTTTTCTTGTTTATCTTATTTTTTGTTAGTTATTTTTAATTATTATTAGAAATCTAATAAATATCAATATTATCACTTGTGAGACGTCATAAACAAGATTAAATAAAAATAAATGAAATACGTATATTGTATCACTTAATATTAAAGAATTACTATTCATTCTGATTTTACCGTATTCATAGTACTGCTATCTTTCTTATTACTATTAAATTTTAATTTAAAAAAGGCATATGTTTTTGTACAGTTTTTTATTGAGAATGCTCAGTATTTTTTCCATCTGATGTTCAGTATCTTTTGCTCAGTGAAGTATTATTTTCTGCGTGGTATATAATTCGAATTGCACAGTTATCAATTCTAGAAAACTCAGTAGGGTGCGGGTGTGGGTGTGTGTATGTCTTATTCATATCTGCACCCACATCTTCTATTCTATGATAATTATGAATGTTAAGAAATCTGTGAGAACCTTAAAATCATCATTTTGTAGTCAATTGAAACTCGAATACCGTCTAATTTTCAAAATGTTTCTCTATAAAATGTACCTCGCTTTCTTATAAAATAATAACGAGAAGACTCAAACTCTTTCCTTTGCAGAACGCATTGGATCTTCAGCTGTATTCGTAATTGATATATTTGAGAAGGCTGTCAAATGCTGAACAGAATGTGCTACTCTCACTTTTTTTTGTACGATGATTTATTACAAAATCATAGTTTTTTTATTTTCATCCCCTTTTTTTCAGGGAACTGAAATTTTCTTGTGGTAGTATGATACATATTAGGGAAATGAAGAAAAAATACGATTCACTTAACTATATTTTTATTTATACATTTATCGAAAAAAAAATGATCAGACAATAACGTCTTGTCTTTACATCCGATCTGAAACGTTATGATTAGACACCAGTATTTACATTATTATCAAGTCGATATTTTTCTCGTAGAGGAAAAACAAATTAGCCGTGTTTTTTTATCATGCTGATATCCTAAAGCATAGTCGTTATTCCGATTATATTGATTTTTATCTATCTATATTGGATAAATATACGTCTTTTTTTTTGTTTCTTCTATAATCCAGAGTGAGAAGACAACGATGATTTATAGTTGTTTGTATCGTCGTTGTGATTATCATCGTCTACACAATAACAACAACACAAATGGGTAATGCTGACTTGCTGTCATCCTTTCCTTCTTCGACTTGTTTATGTCTAATATCTTCGTTAGAGATATATCGATATTAGGCGACGCGGCGCGATGAAAATACTTCTCGGAACAATTACAAGTACGACTAGTTTTGTCTGCGACAGTTCTTCGAGAAATAATAGAAAAAATATAATACATAGATCTTTAGGATATACAGTTGGTGACGCTCACATAGTGATATTATTATCGATAAAAACAGTTGTCTCTACAAAACAAGCGAATTCTCTTTTCTTCGGTAACCTATATGCTTAATTTCTTCTTCTTTTTTTTCTTTTATATTTATTATTTTTTACTAAACAGTATAATTCAATGACATTCACATCTAATGAAATATCTGAAACTAAAAATGATGAGGTCAATTCGTCTTCCTCATCTGATTGCGCACATTCTATGGAACATGAAGAAATAGAGCATATTGATAAATCATTATCTACAAAAGATAATGAAGAACAACAAGTTTCATCTTCAAATGAATATGACGATAATTAAAAGATGAACCAATTTCTATTGCTTTAAATAAAACAAATAATGAAAATCTTGATAATAAACGTCGCGAAATCTATTAAAAAGTCGTTCTGTTAGTTTTGCTCCAACAGTTGAAGAATATGAAATACCTGCTCGTTCTTCAGTTTCATCTGATTGTTCATCTGATTATATTGATGCATTAGTTGATAGTTATAAATTGCAAACATCAATTAATTTATTTCCATTAAACCATTCACATGGTCGAAAATAATTTATTTCTGGAGTTGCGATTATTTTTCGAAAAATCTCCAGTTTGAATTATTTCATTTGTATCTTGTTTTTCTGGTTTGCGAAATACAATCTAATATTATCTGTTGAATCATCTTCTTGTTCATCATAGATAAATGTATCTCCAAAACCTGCTTGTCTTAAAAAAGAACGCCATTGTTCAATTGTACGAAATCCTCTTATTTTATTTATTTCAGATTCATAACTAACACCAGTTACACCATTAAATATCATACGAGCAATATCTAATAATGATTTTAATTCTTCATATGCATGATGTTCACGATATAAAAATAAATCATTTTTAAATATATATCAAGTTGATCTTGTGGTAAATGATGTAAACCCATATAACAAACAACAAGATCAATAGATTCACTCGGAATAGGAACATCGGTTAAATTTGAAAAATTATATGGAATAAATGTACCGATAGGAAATAAACGATTTCGTTCGATTATAACAGTTGGACGTTCACGTTCATTTATAATATAGACACGACCATTTTTAATCGCTAATATTCCACGTAATTCTTTAATACATCGGCTACCATCACCAATACTGCCTATATTCTTGATATAAGATAGAAATGAAATATTTCAATATTGATATTGTCAATCAAGAAATCGCAAATTAATATATAAGTGGAGGCTTGGGGAATGCCAGATTTTCCGATATGACAGAAAAAGCTCCTATTTTTACTTTTTCGATCTGGCAATCCTGCTAGTAGGTATAGAAAAACACATTCAAAACTGTACTTCTCGTTTAATATCGTCCATGTTCGACTAATTTTATCATTTATAAGAATTCAAAGAAAATCTGTCAGTAGGTCTATGACAGTTCAAGCTCATAAGTTCGATTCTTTCGCCAAAAAGAACTGTAGATAAGTTCTTGCGATGAGAATTGATATGGAACTGTCATAGGCCTATTTTTTATTACTTACATTTCAATACATTATTATTGTAATTATTCGACCACCATAGTTAAAAAAATTTAAAATGTTGTTCGATTTATTGCTGAAAAAAAAGTTGCTCCGATTTTAAATTTTAAAGAAAAATTTGTACACTATTTAGTTCGACTTATCGAGAGAAGAAGAAAGCAAAATAATCATAATATTTATTAATGTAATTGCGAGAATTGTAACGATTGACATTATAGGTAAAACATAGAACGAATTAGAAGCAAGAAAAATAGAACATAAGAATGCGTCTAGTGGAGCATGACAATCAAAAATCGCTGAATACTTTAGAAAAATAAAAATGATTGATCATTAAATCTAACGATATAAAACATTTAATTATAAGAAGTTTATTAATGAATATAGTGAAAAAAAGAACCGATCGTATTATATATTTTTAGATCATCTCATAGACCATTTTGAGAACGATAAAACTTAACAAGTTTATAAGAAAATAAAATGTTCCATTTTCTCATTATTTATTCTTAAATTATTATCAAAATTGATTTTCTTTTTTCGTTTGATCATACTATTTTATTTATACATTTTGTATATTCAGTGAAGGACAGACAATATTGAAAACCTTCATCAATCAAACTGGTGACGATGTGCACTTTTTTTACCACGTTAGGCATGGTATTCATATAGGGGTTATGCATCATTGATAAATAGAGAAAAACATGTACTCAAAAGCACATGCCGTTTTCGATGTACCGGTGTTATTTACGTTTTCTTGTATCAAAAATCGATTTATTTATCTGTTATTTTTCAATTCTTCTCAACTTTGAATATTATCAACGATAAGTACTTCTTTCATTATTTTATTTAATCCATATAATAGCTAATTAATATCTTTTCACATTACTCCTTCAGACAAACTAAAAATCACCACATGATAAGAAGTTTGTATTTGCAATAAAATGATATTCTAAAGGAAAAACTTATTTGTACATAAATCGGTATTTATTTAAACTTTAGCAGTATAGTGATGATGATGTATAATCTAGAATATCCTTTGACAAATGTATTCGACGTTTCGTTCTCATAATAATATCTTTTAATTCAAACATTGAGGGTGTGGATGTTGATGTGCGTGTGAATGAAAAAGTCAACAACGCCAAACTCACATCCACACCCACATATTGTGTACATCATCTAAATCGAATATTAGACTACAATAAAGTTTGAAATGCTTTTTTATCTTATAGAAATTTAAACGTATTAAAACTATATATTATTCCATACATTTACGATGGCTGCCAGCACCTCATCGAATCAGTTAGTAAGCAAACATGAATTTGCTGATGTTATGGAAAATACTGTATCAGGACAAAAATCTCTTCATGCCAATGTTCATTTCAATGCTGAAGATGTAATCTGTTCGTTTGATGCCGAACTAACATTGGATCACCCCACTTATGCAACAGTACAAATAGACGATCATACACATATTATATTAAAACCAGAGTTTTTGCTATATGTTAATCATAGTTGTTCACCAAATGTTTTCTTTAATACTGGTTCCATGCAACTAATTGCTCTCACTGAAATACAGCCGGGTGACGAAATAGTTTTCTTTTATCCATCGGCCGAATGGGATATGGAACGACCGTTTAATTGCTTATGCGGTAGTTCTAACTGTTTGAAACAAATTAAGGGTGCAGCGTATCTTCCACATACGGTTATTCAGCAATACCACCTTACTGATTTCATTCGACGAAAGATCAACAACCAAAAATGAAAATACTCAACATTTTATAAAAATTTATTTGAATAGAAAAGAAAACTTTCACTGAACGGTTTTGCTATTATTCAAATAAAATAATTGCTAAAAAATATTTCTATTCTTGAAAAGAATTATTATTTTGAACATATATTTAATAATACTCTCATTGTGAATAATAATTATCATACAAGGAATATAAGATCTCTTTTCAATATTACATTAAATCATATTATGAATAATTCTATTGATATTATTTTAAAAGGAAAACGTTATTCCTTATTAAAATATTGAAAAAATAAATAAAGAATTATTTTATCTACTAAAGTTAATATTTAAGTTTTTCAATTAACTTAAAACTTTAACAATTGAGAAATAAGCTGAAAGAATTTATTATTATATTTTAAATTTTGAATATGAATCACAAAATTTCCTTTTTAAAATATTGATTTTTCTTTCATAAAATATGATCGATAAAGGCAGTAATTGGATCTTCAATGCGATATGCTTAATACTTTTGATTCTTTATATTTGAGAATATTCATTAATAGAACATTTTTACTTTTTTTGCTTTACACATGCTTTTATAAAATCTTAAATTCCGAACTAATACTAATAAAAAAATCAGAACGAGAAACGAACAATTTGTATTGAAATGCGTAACTTTTGTTAATCTATGCAAAAAGATACTTTCTATTTGAAAAAAAGATTTTATCAAACAAGTATCTTGTGTCGAAACATGAAGCGAAGTTGAGATAAGCGAAAGGTAAGTTTTTGCTTACACCCTCATCCTCAGGATGTTTAAACATTTGATTAATAGGAACAAATGCAGACTTTATATCAAATATGTGTTTCTACACAATGCGATTTATTATTACTCACAAATAGTGCATTTATATATGACGTAGAAAGAGATAGAAACAACATTTGAACATATTGACATCGAAATACACATGCAAATATAAAAAATAAGAAGATATAAATGATTTTGACGTCATGTTATCATCTAACACCTATTTTCTCTTTCTTTCTCATATACTCTCAGAATATACAGTTGATATTGTAATCAGTGACGAAGTCAGAGATGAGAGCTCAGCACTCCCAGCAAATTGAGTGTAAATTTTAAGTTGAGATTATCGTCTTCAACCCTCTCAGTTACACACTTTATACCATAGCAAGCGTGCATTTGATATTTTACTCTGAACCAAACTGCGTTGAGAAGTTTGTTTTTTCTTATCTCTGAAAAAATAACTTTTTTGTCGCAGTCAATAATGATATTAAAATACAGAGCCTCTTTGAGATTTTATTTATGAAAATAAATTGTGAACATGTCTCTATTGATGATAAAAAATCATTTTATTTGCTACTCTCTAAAAATATTATTGCACAATTCTCAAATTAAGAATATCCAACATTTTAGCGACATATGGAAAATATTATTTTTTTCTCATTTTACATAGTAAATATCTTTTAAAGAAAAGAATTTGGTAAAAAAAATCTTTATATGAGCTATAATTATCTCAACTTTGTAAGGTTTCAATAGATAACTGAGAAAAAATTATTGTCTTGATTGTATATACACATTAGATAATCTCATTCTTATAAATAATCTTCAATTCCACTTTGATATATGTAACTGTTCTTTCTTTCTATTAATGATAATATATAAAATTAATTTTAGATCATCTATCACTCGTAGAATACAATGATTTTAATTGAAAATTTCAAATTATATTTGACTTTGCCAATAATCGGACAATTATCTGGTAAATAATCGATTTTATTATTTCTAAAAGAAATAATTTTGAAATTTTCTTTTAGGTCTTTCGTTTAATCAACCAAAGTTTTGTCCAGAACCAACTTGGAACTCCAACGGAACTATTTTTATAGCAAATAATACAATCAAGGGTTATCCAGATTCTATATTTGTTACAACCAATAATTCAATTTATGTTGTTGCTCAAGCAATACCTCAGATTTATATTTGGTTGAACAATTCTGTTAATTCAACCATAACAACAACAGACACCGTCCCATTTCCGAAAACAATATTTGTTCAAAATGATAATGAACTTTATATTGAACGTGGAACTTTCAACAAACGTACCGTCGAAAAATGGATATTAAATAGAAATAATAGTACTCCTGTCATGAATATCCCTGCACCATGCTATAATATTTTCATTGATACCAGTAACAACTTATACTGTTCACTTGATCTAGAACATAAAGTTGTAAAGAATTCATTGGATGACGACGATACAACACCGATCATTGTAGCTGGAACTGGACTTTCTGGTCCAGCTTCGAATAACTTGATTTTACCAAGTGGACTTTTTGTTGATGCTAGTCTTAATTTATATGTAGCTGATTATGGAAACCACCGTGTTCAAATGTTTCCACCAGGAGAATTGCATGGAATTACTGTTTCAGGTGATAGATCAATAAATACTACCATTGGTCTTACATATCCAACAGGTATCACGATGGATGGTGATGGTTATTTATATATTGTTGATTATTATAAACATCGCATTGTTCGAGGAAAATCAGATGATTTTCGATGTATACTTGGATGTCGTACTACTATCGATATAGCAGCGAATCAATTATTGGAACCACGTCATATGGCTTTTGATAGTTATGGAAATATTTATGTTGTTGATAGGAATAATCAACGAGTTCAAAAATTTTCTTATGAAAAACTTTCATGTGGTAAGTATCAAATCATGTTTTAATTCTTCTCTGGCTGCGGCTGTGCATTTGCCGATCTAGTCTTTATCTCTATACTTCATGAGGACTCTGATAATGCATGTTAGGCCATAGAAATAGGAAGAGTTCGATCGTAAAATGAAACATATATTTTGAAAACATGTTTAGTTCACTAATTACGAAGAAAGAATTTACATTTAAATCTTCAAAATGAGAGCTTTCTCGAGGAACATAAGATACTTTCATTAATGTAACAACAAAGTTTAATCTTTTTTTTTCAATTATTCTCTTTAAGAACCAAGGACAACGATAACACATACAACAAGTACACCTGTGATATCACATTCAACAAAGACTTTGGCTGAATATTTAATTCAATGCTTAATGTTTTTGATGCTTTATATTTAAAAACCTTCTTTGCACATGCTTTCTATTTATTGTACTTCATTTAAAAAAAATAAAATGTAAATTTAAAATGGAAGAAAAAGAAAGATATATATGGCATTTTCTGGGAAAAAACGTCAATTCCGAAATAACAACGAATAGAAAAACACGAAAAGTGAATTACTTGCATTTGGTTCATCTTTGTAGGTGAGATAAACGAAAGAAGAGTGTCATCATGAATGGTTATCAATATATCCATAGCTACTTCCTCTCTCACACATTCAGTCATCCCTGCATAGCAAAAGAGAACGAGATTATATATTTTACTAAAGCGAAAAGCGAAAATCATTTAAGCAAACGACTTTTCAACGAAAGAAAATGCGTGAAAGCCACAACTGCAAAACACCTTTCGCCCTCGTCCTCTCTTTTTGTTCATACATGGAATAAAGTACGACAGCCATTTGTTTTCTCCCCCTTCTTAATGTAATCTACAAACAAATGCGAGAGAAAAGAATGAAAAACAACATTCGTCTTTTATTTGTGACGCTGAATGTCAAGCAGCAAACGAGAATAATGCCTTCCAAAATATTTTGTTTTTGTTTACTTTGATTCATACAGCCACGTTGGTGGTGAAATTAACGTGAGATTTTTCCCTTTGTATGGAGTATAAAGTGAGCTAGTCGAACTGCACAAAATTTTGTTGATTCTGAAGAGTCGTCGATCAGTTTCTTCCTACCTTTACTTCACAACTGACCGAATTTTCTTCAAAAATATTGATATGATAAATTGAAAGAAGTTTCTTATCTGTGCTAATAAAGTTTTATCCATTTTTTACGATAATTTTTTGCTTGTTTTTTAGATATATCAATTTGGTCATAACTTTAGACTCTTTCTAGTCGAGTTTCTTTAAGATTTGCTATAGCGGAAAAAGTCTATCTGTGGATGAGTATTTATAAAAAAATCCAGATTGCAAACACATTTTTATGAAAGATTGATGCTGAAAAATGAAACCTTATTGCAAGAAATTAAAAAAAAGAGACATCAGTTTTACCTTGTTTATTAAGTAAGTTTTCATTTTGTGCTTGTCTAGAAAGACGGAATACAATAAACATATATGGTCCAAGTTTATTTGCAAATGTTCAAGAAAAAGAAATGGCACGAAATCATAAAACTGATAATAATTCAACAACATCTTTACCAAAATAAAACCCGATATAAAAAAAACAATTTAAATGAATATGTGACACAGAATCTCTCAGAAGACTTTCATTAATTTAAAACAAAGAAAAAACCTTTTTGCTTCGATTTTGATTTTTCGTTAATATGATTATATATCTAACATATTTTTAGATGTCGGTTCGAAAGAAAATGGTAGTTGATATATCACATCCAAATAGTTGTGTTGCAGTTGTAGAATACGAAGAGTAAATGATCTTTCATTTTATTTATCTATTAAATAACGTATGTCTTTTTTTCTCGTTTTTAGGGATATGACATTAGATAAAATAAGACAAAATACATTAACATCAAGTGCACAAATCATTGCATTCTATGATGAACAACTTAAATTGAACGAATTGAAGTGAGAATTGAATTACCATTGAGATCTATGGTTTTTTATTGTTAAAAAGAGATCAAATGATCCCAATTATTTAAATTTGATTTTGTTAATTCTTCTCTTTATTTTTAGTCTCGTTGATGAATCTTTGAGTTTACATGAATATGATGCTTTGCTTGATGAAAAAGATGATTTAGCATTGATGAGTAAGAATAATTACTTAATAAATATTTTATTTTATATTCCATCAAAAGATCTTCTCTTGGGTTTTCCACTTGATCATTTTGCTAGCACATTAAAAGGTGAAGCATGTGAAGCTCGTTCATTATTAAATCGTTTAGTTGATATGCTTGTACAAGAACAAAATGATATCGATGATAAACAAATAAGTCCTGTTAAATCACAAAATTTATTAAAGCAGTTCGGTCTTATTTCAGGTTTTTTAATCAAATGATATAGATAAGAATAATCTATGAATTTAAAATATTTTGTAGACATTCGTCCAGTATTTGTGCAAGTGCAAGAACAGCATTCAACTTCATCTATATGTTTTAATCTTTCGAGTAGTTTATATTCTTCACCAATTGATATTGTTGCTAATGTGATATCATCAAAATTATCAGCTGATAATCCAACAATGACAAATGAAGAAAGAATGGAAATAATTAAAGAATATAGATCATGTTATTGGTTGCAAGCACTTGGATGTGAAGAAAGACTTTTCGGTACTAAACCATTAATACAATCACATGTAAGGATGATTATTTAAATAATTTACTAATTCAATTCTTGTTTCTTATTATTGATGTATGTCAAAGAATATTAGAAAAGTGAGTCTTAGAAAGATCTTTGATAGTATACATCAATCTTGTGGGTGTAGGTGTATGGATTATAGACTCCTTTGCTCTCATTAACACCCACACTCACACCCGTTCAGATGATATTTTTGTATGAATAAATCATATATATTTAGCACGTTCAAATATGTCTTCGTCTTGATAAACCATTATATTTTAAATTAACTAATATTGAAAATACAACTGGTAATGGTAAAAAACGATGTATAGCAATGATTCAAAAAGTAGAACGAAAAAAATTACAAAGTATTCATAATTTTTTTTTTTGATTCTGAAAGTTAATTTACGTTTCTGAAGAATTTGATGGACGAAGTAATGAAATTCGTCAAGTTGCAAATGAAAAAGATATTGCATGTAGATATTTTTCTTTGCGTATTTTATCTGGTCAATTGATTCCTGCCGATGAATTTGATAAAGTATGTTATTTAATATAAGGTAAATATATCTTATTATAACTTTTAAGGTTAAAATTATTATTGGATTATATCATGGTACCCAACCATTATTTCCCGGTTCAATTATAGAAAGTCGAACCGTTGATACATCAAATCCTAATTGGCAACAAGAAATTAAATTTAATATAACATTAGTTAATTTACCACCTGCTAGTAAATTGTGTTGTTCGATACATTTTCATCGACGACGAAAATCATTATTAATTTCTGTAAAATCTCTTGTTTTTTTAATTCATATTAAAATACAAGAAAAAGAGTTTTGTTTAGGATAAATGGATCTGTATTGGATGGGCAAATCTCAATGTATTTAATCATAATAGTTGTCTTATACAAGGAAGACAAGAAGTACGATTTTGGCCAACAGAAACAAATAATAGCAAAATTACGGCATCTATGTATGGTTTTAATGAAAGAGCTGTAGCAGGTTTGTTTTATTTGATTGAGATTGACTTATAAGAACAAAGGTCTTTCTTATTAGGTATAAATCCGGATCGATCTTATCCAGCAATTGAACTAGAATTTCCTAGTTATGAATATCAAATAACAACATTATCGCCACGTAATGGTCTGGCTATGCAAGCGCAAACAAAAAATGAACAATTATTACGTTCATGTGCATTTCAAGATGATGTAATAATATAAAAATTAATTTGAATTTTTTTTCACTGCTATCTAATTTAGTTGAAAGAAACAGAAGAAGATACTGATTTTTATGATTGGCTTCGTTCAATTGAGTTTGAATTAACTGAACAAAGTCGAGCAGAACTTTGGGATAGACGGTAAATTTTATTCTAATTTTTCTTACAGAAATATCAATTTTATTTTCATATAGTTATGAATGTATGCACGTACCAGAAGCATTACCTCGTTGGCTTAAATGTGTTGATTGGTCAAAACGTGATGATGTTCTTGAAGTAAACTAGTAAAGTATTTATTAAAAAAAATAAACAAAAATTTTATTCTAGGCATATAAAGTTGTTGAAAATTGGCCAACAAAAAATATAGATCCATTAATGACAGCACTGGAATTACTTGATATTGATTATCCTGATCCATTTGTTCGATTTTCAGCTGTTCGCTTATTGGATACACGTATTGACGATGATCGACTATTACCTGTTATATTACAAATTGTACAAGTAAATAAAAATTGAAGATTTAATTTTCTTTCAAAAATTCGATTTAGGCTATTAAAAATGAACCATATCATGACAGTGCTTTAGCGAAATTTTTACTTAAACGTTCATTATTAAATCAACAAGTTGGACATTTCTTCTATTGGCATTCAAGGTACAATTAATTCATCTTATAATTTATTAGAGTTAATTTTATTGAAAAATTTTTAGAGCTGAAATTAAAAATCCTCAATATGAAGTACGATTTGGTCTTTTATTAGAAGCATATTTACGTTATTGTGGTGAATATGCCGAAGATCTTGGACGACAAGTACGAACTGTAGATAAACTAACATCTATTGCTGAAATTATACAAAATAGTACACATGATGAATTATACAATCAGGTTAGTTCTTAAACGAAAGAAAAAAAAGATCTTAATATGAAAATATTTCTATTTAGAAAGGTTATCTTGCTCATTTACTCACAAGAGAAGGTTACACTCAAAATCTTCAATATTTTCGATCACCTGTTGATTATAATATTGAACTTGGTCAACTTGAGTAAGATTCGATTTTAATTAAAGAGTCAATGAATAAATAAATAATGATCTATTATTCTATAGTTTAGAACATTGTCGAGTAATGTCATCTACTCGACGACCATTATGGTTACGTTGGACAAATGGATCTGAATATGCTGAACATTATATTCCAACATTTGATTTAATTTTTAAAAATGGAGATGGTAGAATTTTCAAATATTTATTTAGTTAAATTAAAAAAAACTTTTCTTTAGATCTTCGACAAGATATGTTAGCATTACAATTTATTCACATGATTGATATTATTTGGAAAGGTGATGGACTTGATTTAAGGTTTGAATTATTTTTAAATCGAAAATAAAAATTTATTTATTTATTTTTAGTCTGTTACCATATGGATGTTTAGCTACTGGTTATTGTTCAGGCTTCATTGAAGTTGTTAAAAATGCGAAAACAATTATGGATATACAAAGATTAGATGGTTTAAAAGGACAATTTCAATTTGATGCTAGTGCACTTTATCGATGGATTGTAAAAAATAATCATGGTGCTGATAAGTATGTTCATTGATTTAAAAGAGGAAACTTTAAATTTGGAAAACGATGTATATATTACTTAAGATTGAAAAGTGCAATTGATCTATTCACACGATCATGTGCTGGTTATTGTGTTATAACATATGTTCTTGGTGCTGCTGATCGTTATCCAGATAATATTATGGTTACTGAACGTGGTCAAGTAAGTTAATATATTTTGATTGATTAATCTATTTTGTCTTCGTAGTTATTTCATATTAATTTTGGACATATATTAGGAAATTTTAAAAAGAAATATGGTATACGACGTGAACGTACAAAATTAATACTTATTGATGATTTTGTGCGAGTCATAACGAATAATAATACGGATACAAATCCAACTGAAACACGTGAATTTAGAAAGTATGTGTCAATTCTCATATTATATTCAATTGTAATGTGTACGTTTCTCTTTTTTTATTTTAGTTTTAAAAAATTATGTATCAACGGTTATCGTATTCTTCGTCGTCAATATCGTCAAATTGTTTGTTTATTTAAATTAATGATGAATTGCGATTTAACTGAATTAAATGGCGAAGCTGATATGGCTTATCTTCGACAAACATTTGCTATTGATCTTGGCGCTAATGAACAAGAAGCATGCGATCGATTTGAACAAGTTCTACTTGATTCATATAAATCAAGTGTGAAAACACGTGTTGATTGGGTTTTTCATGCCCTTCATCATATCAAATCCTAAATCCCAGTGGTCTGTAAATTTTTCTTGTAAAAGAAAGAAAAGCAAATTAAAACTAATCGCATTTTTTTTAATCGTCAATTAATCGTGTAATACACATCTTTTATTTTTAAATCATTTATTAACAAAAAAAACATTTCATTCTATTTTATGAAAAAACCATGTGAGAAATATGACTCATGTAATAGATTATGTGGGTTTTTTTCTTTTTCTTTCATATATAAAGAGTAGTTTATTACTTGTTTTGTACTCATTGTATGAGATAAATCAAACTTAAGACATCTTTAAAATTTTCTACGTCTAGTTGATATCTTTGCGACCAGTACCCTACAATGATTGCTTGTGATCCTGATATTGTTGAAAATATCAATCAGTCCAATAAAAAAAACTTTGTATTCTTTTTACATTCGAGGTAAGACATTACCTGATTGTAACAAATAAAGACAAGTGAAATAGAACTTTCAGATATTCTTCTGTTTCTTTTTACCTCATATTCCTCCTTAATAAAACCAAACAAAAGCTCTGATTATCAGCAAAAAAGATAAGTAATCACATACATAAATATAAAGTAAAGTCAAAGACAAATGTTTTTCTAGTTTTATCATAATTCTTTATTTATTTGTTTGATAATATTTGGAGTAAAACTATTAACCAATATAGAGAAGCAATGAATATATTACTAATGTCTACCGCTTGTCAAATGCAGCCTCTATTTAGACTAATATTTTTCTTAAAAAAATGCAATCATAGATCGCATGCGGAGCCCTGGTTATAACATTATATTGAAGACTATATATTGAAATATTAAAATCTTATTTATATTTTATATTCATTTGTAGATCTATTTAAGTATAGCGTAATCAATATGTCGGTTTGCCAATATTATTTACGAGGTAGCTGTCGATTTGGAGATCGATGTCGATATCCGCATGTAATTAATATGTCGGTTTGCCAACATTATTTACGAGGTAACTGTCGATATGGTGATCAATGTCGATATCCACATGTAAAGCCTAATGTCCCAAATCCAGCAACATCTACAATTCTTAAATGGATTATTGAAAATTATGCAGATAAAATGAAAGCATTTGATATCTTGTAAGTAAATTTGATTTGAATTATCTCATATAATTTATCTTCTTAGAGTACAAATGCAAACTGAAGCGAAAGTATGGCTTAAAACAAGTCTTTGGCGATTTACATCAAGATCACTTTTTCCTGGTGGACATCCTTTAAAACGTAAAGATTCTTTTTTGATTTTTTTTTCTTCAGTAATAAATTCTTTTTAGATTGGACGGATCATTCATTTGAAGAAATGAAATGGGCACATCGATGCATGAGTAATACTGGCGAAGAACATAAATATGTTTGTGTGGAAATGAATTATCTTCAAAGTGATATTTAAGTTATTTTTAGAAAAAAGCATATTCCGATTATTGGGAAAATACTCAACGTGAACTTCTTGGTTTATCAAAACTTCGTATTGATACTGTTAAACTGCTTGTATGTATATATTTATATATATGGCATAGAGTTGTTTTTAATTATTTATAAAATTTCTTTTTCTTTTGTATTTTAGAAAGAACATATTGCAGAATACGTTGCAAGTAATCATAAACCATCGATAACATTATCAAGTGATATTGATATGAAAGATGATAATCATATTACAATAGCAAATTCTAATGTAGAATTAACAAATTATACAGCAGATGATCAACTTCTTGCAGATGAACGTGCTGCTTTTGAAAGTGATACATTTGAATTAGGACATATACCTGTTCATGCTCCTTCACAACAATTTTGTTAAAAATTTTTATTTAATAAAGAACGAAAATTTTTCTCTATTAGTTATCAATTCGGTATTTTATATTTCGAAAAAGAGAGAATTCAGATATATTTGATAATGAAACACGTTTATATACTACAACAGACTTGTTATTTATTTTGTTCTCTCCTACTTTTTCTTTTATCGATTCTCCTTTCATCGTTTGAGAAGTATTTAATCTGTTGAGTTTAATAGTTTAATTTATTTGATAAATATTAAGTTTATGAACAGATATTGTTTGATTCTCGAAAATAACTATAATATCTTCTACAATAGTTCGTTTCAGGATTATAGTCATCAATGATGGGCAACACTTTTACTTCGTGTACAAATCGTAGAAGAACTGTGGAAAATAGGACAAGTATAATTTAATTAATCGTCTTCTTGGTTGTATATATGGACAAGCTTTAGGTGATGCTTATGGTCTATCGACTGAATTTGAAAAACGCAAAACAGTTGCAAGTAATTATCCAGATCGTTCAAAAATTATTCCTTTTCCAGATTATAAATTAACTGGACATTCTAGTCGATGTGAGCGTGGCGACTGGACTGACGATACAGATCAATGGATATTAATTTTAGAGACATTAATCGAAGGAAATGGTGATGAAAGAATATTTGCTAAGAAATTAGAGAGATGGATTGAATACGGTTTTCCAGAATTGAATGATTCTGCAGGAATGGGATTAGGCGCTAATATACAACAAGTAATTTAGTGTAGTCTAATACTTTTAATTTAAATGAGACAAGAGAATTTAGGTATTGGTTATCATGCATTTTAGGTTGTTTTCAGTCATGGATATCTTCGTAATCCAATTGAGACTAGTAGAATGATATGGGAACATGGAAATCGACAAGCAGCACTGAATGAAGCTGTTATGCGCTATTCAGCCGCAGCATTTGTTCATTTCGATGGTTTAGAAAAAGTAACTAAAGCATAACGGTCTGGGTGTGTTGGTGGCTGGATATTAGTGCTGATGCGAGTCTCTTCTCCTGTAATCCCTACACCCACACCCACACCCTTATTTGAAATTATTTCACAACCACTATCGGTACTGAATTGATTAAAATGACCAAAACGACGTGCATCATAATAGATCCATTTTTGATACGAAATAACAACAATTTTACGTGCTCTAGGTGATTGAAGAACACCGGGAAGTTGTTTTTTATTTACGGTTATTCCGTTAACCATCTAGAATTATTAAAAAAATCAAGAAAATAAAAATGCAGAAAAGTCATGAGATAATATTATTATTCAATTATTATGCTAACAAATAATACTTCATCTATTCTTTAGAAACGAGATACATATTCACATCTGCAGTTGTAAATCCTACTTTTATATCATTAAATTAATGAAATATATCTAAATAATATTTGTATAATTCTAACTCTATCCTCCATCATCCGAATTTGCTTCTTCTTTTTCTTTCTTAGACGTAAGAATAGAGTTTTTTTCCATCAAAATTCTTATAAAAAGAAAGAGAATTCTTCTTTCTTTTTTTGCAAAAATGTGAAAAGTCCATTATTGTATTAAACTGAAATACACTCATATACACAAACACACACATGCAAAATCGTTGTAACATTTATGTATTTTTTAGTAAAATATCAACGATATTACTCAGTGCAATAGTTATGAGCTAAGTCTTAATCATTTCGTCCATTTGTTAGACATGTTTTGTGAGGTATACATACTAATATTTATAGCGAAAATCGGATTTCTGATCCAACTGTGCTAGAGCGAAGAGGATTATGCTCAGACTTCAATATAACTATTGAAATCGAAACGAATATAAGTTCGAAAACGCAAATCTACCCAGGATCTATCGCACATTGGTTTTTCCCCTCTATTTCTATTTTAGGCATGAAATGCTCTTCCTTTCTTTTTCGTCCTCTCATATTTATGTTTGCTGCTGAATAAATTATCGTTTGTTTCTTCCATTTTATTGTGACGTCAAGATATACTTGTGCCAATTCAAACGATGGCCTGTGTATGATGTGGCACTTTCGTATCATGTGATTACATTGTTATCATGTGGCTGTTTTTTGTAATAGGATACTGACTATTTCGAGTACTATATAAGGGACGACGAATATTCAGTAAAGTATACGATTTCTTAATAAAACATATAATCAATATCATACTCCAGCTAATAAATCGTAATATGGTGAATTATATAAGTATGCAATTGATTGAATAAAGTAGTCAGTCATGAAAAATACATGAAAGAAAGAATAAAATACTCTATTACCATATATACCCGTATATATACATAATACCGATTTATAGTAGCAGAAAAAACGGAAGTGTTTCAATTCTGTCAGTTTAATATTTAATAATGAAATTTTTTTAAAATTAGGTATCGATAAACGGTTTTCTCTTAACAGTATATTCTTTGAAGCGATGTATCATACACTTTTTCTATCTAAATTGGATACAGATGTTAAGCATCAACTATGAATGTTAAATAGTCCATTAACAAATTCTTACAGAAAAGAATCTAAGATTTAAAAATTATTTTTTTAGCGTCTCTTTATATAGCGTTTTTTTTATTATATCTTCATGTCATTTCCTTACATGTGTGAACATCTTTAAATATACTAAATAAAAAATTAGTTTTTTTATAGATATAATGCGATTGTGAAGAAACGTTGGTTTTATCCATTGAATATGACCTCAGAACCTATTAATACGTCGAAAGATAATCATGATGATAACGAATCAAATGTAGAAAACTTCGAATTGGTCCGAGTTAAAATTCAAAAAACTGAAGACGATGATATACAAGAAGATCTATCTGAAATTTCAACGAATATGGAAGATATATCTTTACTATGGTTCGATAAAAATTTAAATTCGAATATCAATGATATTAATTTGACAAAAGATTTACTTCGACAAATTAACAATTACGTTTTATTTTTTACAGACCAACTTGAATGCTTAAAATATATTGAACAAGTAAAAAACGAGAAAGTATTGTTGATTATTTCAGGATCATCCACAAATGACGAGAAGTTTCTGAAACAAATCTATAATTTTAATCAAATAGATTCTTTGTTTATATTTTGCATTAGAAACGAAAGATATACAAAACTTTTATCGGATACAAATTACTCAAAAATTATTGATATTTTCACTGATCAAGAAACGTTAATGAGATGCATACGTCAGACAATAAAATTGGCCAAAGAACAGTTGTCGATATTCACCTTATATAATCATACACAAAAGTCAATACGGAATTTAAAAAATGAGATGGGCTCTTTTATTTGGCATCAACTATTGAAAGATGTTTTGCAAAAGATGTCAACAGATCCAATATCTGAAAGAAAGGAAATGATTGACATATGTTATAAATATTATCGTAATAATAAAAAGGAATTGCAAAATATTCAACGGTTCGAAAAGATTTATAAACCTGATGATGCTATCCAATGGTATACAAAGGATTGTTTTATCTATCGTTTGATCAATAAAGCATTAAGAACAGAGAACATTGAAGTATTGCATACATTTCGATATTTTATTAATGGTCTCTCAACCTGTCTCATGAATAACTATGAACTGATAAAAGATAGTCAAGCAGACATTTGGCAAGTATATCGTGGTATTAAACAAACAAGCGATGAAATACAGCTATTAAAGAGGAGTATTGGAAATTTAATTTCGACCAATGGTTTTTTTTCAACAACTAGACATAGACCAGTGGCCGAGATATATGCTGGTATAGGATCTAACATTGATAAATTTGAATCATTACTATTTGAGATTAACATCAATATTCAAACACATAAAAATTGTATCTTTGCTGATATTAGTTGTTATAGTCAGTTTGGCGACGAAGAAGAAGTTCTGTTTGATCTAGGCACTGTATTTGAAATTCTTTCAGTAGATTATAATCCAATTGATAAATATTGGTTATGTAAAATGGCATCGACAGATAGAGGTCTACAAATAGCCGATGAATATTTAACGCTCCGAAGAGGTGAGATGGCAAATGAGAAGATTGACTTAGTTATTTTATTTGGGGAACTATTATATGATATGGTTGAATATAAAAAATCACAAAAATATTTTGAAAATTTATTGAGCAGTCGAAATACTGATCCGAATGTGTATATGGGTATTGCCCATGCTCAATATATCCAAGGTCAAAATGAAGAAGCAATCATAAATTATAAACATGCATTAACTAAATGTGATCCATCTGAATTCTTATTGACCGCAAAAATATTAAGGTATCTAGCTCTTCTATATAAATTTAGTGGACAAAATGAAATGTCTTTAAACTATGTAACTGATGTATTAAAACTGTTAGAAAGCAACGAACTTAGTAATGAATCTAACAGAATTCGCGCGGATGTTGCAACACTGTTGCCACAAATTTATAATTTTCTTGGTAATGGTACAAAAGCGCTGGAATATGCGGATACTGCACTTAATATTATCAAAACATTGGTACCATGCCCTCATCTAGATCTAGTTGAAGCTCTCACATCTTCGGCTCTTGCTTATCGAAAAGCAGGTGATTATAATGCATCTTTAGATCGTCAAACAAAGGCGTTAGAAATAATAAAACAAGTTCTTCCTGATAATCATCAATATCTTGGTGTAGCATTAAATAATATTGGCAAAGCTTATTATAAAAAATGTGACTATGATAATGCCATACACTATCTTGCACAGTCTCTGGAAGTCTATGCTAATGTTTGGCCTGGATATCATCAACGACGGGCTATTCCTTTAAATCACCTTGGTAAATGTTATTACCGTTTGAATGATTATAATCAAGCTCTCGATTATTATTTACAAGCAATGGAAATGCTCGAAAAAACTGTTTCCTCAAATCATACAGATAGAGCTTATACAGTGAAAAATATAGGCGAAGTATACCTAGATTTATTGGATTTTGACAAAGCTCTGACTTATTTTCGTCACGCAATGAATATTTATAAAGAAAACACGCGTGATAATAGTACTCAACCAGATGTTGCTAAGTGTTATTATTTAATTGGTCGAGTTTATTTAAAACAAAATGATAGTGAACATGCATTAGAATTATTTTTGTTGACATGGAATATGTGGCAATCTGCATTAATACACAATCATCCAGACTTAGCATTGTGTGCTGAAAGTTGTGGTCATGCATACCTGGGTAGATTAGATTATGGAAAGGCTTTGGAATACTTTTCAAAAGCGCTAGATATCTATGAAAAAGGGTTTACACTCAATGAAGCAAAAATAACTGTTATTAAAAATTTAATTGACGATACTAAACAGAAAATTCATGAGAACAACTTAAACAGCTTATGACTATCAAATATTCAAATTCTTTAGTACAAAATTAGAAGCATAAACAATTTAAAGAATACTTTACTCATTTTTCTATTTATAATAACTATAATAATATACTTAAAATAATGCTCTATAAACAAGCTCTAATGTAGATATTTCACTTAGTATATATTCTCAATCACAGGCTATTTTTGAAACTTCTCGTTGCTGATAAACAGGTCATTTGAAGAAACTCTTGAAATCATTTCACTTTAAAATGAAGTTTTAGTAAAAACGATATCTCTATATTTATTATGAGTGTAAGTATGAATATGTGTGTGAGCGATAAATACAGCTTGTACTTGTCTCCAAGATGATTTTAGATTATTAATTTCTTTTTTAGTAATTGTATCAAATATAAACAAATACTACATGATATTCAATGAGAAGCTCTGCATCTTCTTTCTTTAAATTTTACTAGTCAGTATAATATAATATATGATCATCTTCATTATAGAACGTACAACAAAATAACAACGATTTCTTCTAAAAAAATATACCGTCATATTTGGTAATTGTGTGCATATATTTATTCATCTGTTGATATTTATTCAAAACGTTGAGTAGAGGTAAAGATATGAGAACTAATATTATATAGATTCAGGTTTCATACAATAGATTTATTAAGCAAAAAAATTTTAATCACATGAAAAGAACAGAGAGTTATTTAATGAAAGTATTGTACGACAAAAAATAGACTAGCTACTGCTACCAAAAGTTTAGCACTCCATGTGCCTGTTGTTACTCCGTTACATAAGTCACCCTTGCAACAGAATGTATATTTATCAACAGGTTTACAATCAGCTCCTCCATCGCCTCGACTTTCAGTATTGACAACAGGAAGAATTGTTTTCTACAAGAAATTATACAGTTATTAAAGAAGAATCTTTTTAATTTCGAATTTACTTCGCAATAATTGTTGTCGGAGACAGTGACTTTAGAGACACCTGCTTCATTTCCTTTGAATGGTTTTGGACATGCAGTACATTTATAACATTCTCTAGCTGTTGCTCCAGCAATAACTAAACGAGAAATAACTGTGACTTAAAATATATAATTCAATAGTGGATGTTAACCTAGTAAGAATGCAGTAATGATGAGAACTTTGTTGTTCATGTTGAAGGGTGAATAGATGTAAAAATATAATTGTTGTAAAACAGATAGAATATGCTCTTATATGGGTTTAGGACAGTTACTCACCGGACAGTTGCTCGCCGGACAGTTGCGCGCGGACATTTGCTCACCGGACAGTTGCTCGCTAGGACATTTGCTCGTATGGACAGTTACTCGTA